GGAGGATTAGATAACTTTGTGATAATCAAAAAGTTAGGCAAATGATCTGTTATGCCACACAGTATATTACCACTTATAGCATGGTGCTCTAGTGAATTAAAGAAAATGTTATCAATTAGAGTTGTGGAATGATAGGTTATTCTAGTAGGTTTCAAAATCTGTGGATGGAAGGCATAGGATCCTAGAGTATTGACAAAATCTTCTGTCTCAGAATGAGAGTCATAATTTAAAAGATTGATATGAAAATCACCCATCAGAAAACAAAATTTACGTTCTCTGTTTATTTTCTCAGTCACCTTATACAAAAAGTCCACAGTTTTGGCAATATTTTGATCAGGATGCCTATATATTAATCCACAGACAATATCATGCTGAAGTGGGAACTCAATTTCAATCCAAATGGACTCAAATTCTGGATTGGTAGTGCAGAAGTCATCATGTTTAATGTATGAAAGATTGTCTTTGATGTAGAAACCAACACCCCCAGCATTAGACATGGATGGTTGAGACAGGAAACAATAACCAGGGAGATTGGTATTCAAATAAGAATCCATATCAACTTTGATTTTATTTTCAGAAAGGCCAATAACAGAGAAAGAATAATTCAAGTCACTTAACATTTGGAAGAAATCATCAAAGTTTGCTGCAAGACTTCTAATATTAAAGTGCAGGGCAGAAAATGCCTTATCAGAAATGGTTGATCGAATATCTTCATTAGAGTGGAACTTATGAATTGAGTAATATCCAAAATTAGTCACGGAAGGTAAATTCAGGTCAATATCAATGCTGGATAAATTGCGATTATTATTAATAGATGCAGATAGATCAAAACTTGGTAAAGACTCTAAATTCGATCTGGATATTTTTCAGAGCAAAGACAATCTGTGTTGGAATTATAGACCAGTAGCTCAACCAGTTCATGGTCTTCCACGGAATTAAAAGGAAAAATTTTGTTACGGCAGTGCAGGCAGAGCCACAAGTCACAGGTCGCAGCGAAATAGTTGTACTCCTTAACAGATAACGCAGTACATTTTAGGTGAAACCACCAGAGGCAAGAGCCACACTGGATGCCTCTACAATCTTCTTTCACAGGCCTCACACAGTTCCTACGCTTAGGCACTATCATTTAATGTAATAAGAGATAAAGGAGAACTAGTAACAGTGCAGGAAAATAATTAGAGCACTTAGCTGGATCCATATGTTCAGCCTTGGTCATCTTGTCCTGCAGGACGATGTGCTGCTTTCAACTTTGCTAGATCAGAATCGCTGGTAATTAAATGAGAGCGACTGTCCTTGTTCTGCCTGAGGAAAATTCGACCATTTGAGGTGGATATGAAGTCAAATTTCAATTCTTTCTTGACTTTTAGGGCTGCTTTGAATAATTTCTTCCTTGTCTGAGTAAGGCTTTCAGAGATGAATATTTTGTTTCTCTCTGCCGATGATGTACCAGCAAGATCCCTGGATGATTTGTTTTTGAGTTTGTACCTTGCTCTGTAAAATTTCTCCTTGACATCCCTCTTTACAAACTTTGCTATAACACTTGGAGGTGGGGAATGCACAGTACCATCTTTGTCTGTCCAAGGAGGAATTGGAGGAAGCCTGTGACTGATCGAGATGTCATCTTCGCCTAACTCTACATCGAGAAGGCCGGCCGCTTGTTTCACAACCTCATTAGTGTTTTCGTCACGGCTAACCGACACATTCTTGGCGCATATATTGCTCTTGTTCATCCAGGAGAACTACATTCTCGTTGACTTTGCTGATAGTAGTATTAAGTTGAGCTTTAAGAGCATTGTTCTCCAGCTCAAGAGTTTTCACAGTCCTCTCGAGGTTGACCACTTACTCCAACAACTTACAGTGCTCGTCGTCTTTAAAGTTCAAAGAATTCTCAATTGGCTCTAGTTTTAGCCTTAGTATTTTCTCCAACTCATCGTGTGTAACATGCACAACCATTATGGAATAAGAACAACGACAAAAACGTAAAAACACTACACAAAACTTCAAAAAACTTAGAAAATTTGATGGCCTTCGGAAGGCACGTCCATATTGTTTGCTGACCGCTGACCTGAGACAGTTTCACTTCTGAAAGTCTTCAACACCCATATCCTTGACTTCGGCGACTGACCATTCTGGCAAGGAGGGAAAATGGCATATATAGACTGAAAAATTGCTTAGCTATAAAATAGTAAATCATTTAAGAAAACCATACTGTACACTGCTTATCTGATACAGTCTTGCTTGAGACAGATTCAACAGTGGCAAAATTTTGACGGGCATTTTGCCGCTGATTGCGACAAGGCAGAAAAGGATTCTTCCGTACCAACAGAGTCTGTATAACCTACAGATTCCCTAGTTAGATCCATAGGTAGTTCCCTTTCCGCAGTTTTGCACACACTTTCTGGTGAAGAAGTAATTGGCAGTCTCTTGCAATACAAAGTGCCCTTTCTACTCGCATCCGCCATCTTGAAAGTGACCTTGAGGGAGTTTGGAGTCTGGATTACATACAACTGTCAACATTTCTGATTGGTTGTTATTCACACCACGGTCAAAGTGATGGCTTTTCATTGGCTAATTGAAGTTCAGTCCCAGTGACAATGCCTAGTTCTGTTTTGGCAAGTGACTGGAAACGATTCATCATGCCAAAACATGGTGGCCCTAAGCAAAACTGTTCCATCTTCTACCTGCCACTGTCTGGCTCATTAAGCAGCCCACGTTCATTGTCTTTGTATAATTTGCACAGGAAAGCAGTAAATTATCGTATACAAAAATCTCATCTCAACTCAAGTGCATTTTGCGATGTAGTTACACCAACAGGATCTGAAGAGGAAACAGTGGTGGAAAGTGAACTTGAAGAAAGGCTCCATTACGAAGAAACTAGAGTAGACGATCA